GGAAGGAGTTGATGCAGTTGCCGGCCACTTCGGGGCTTGAATTTAATCGCTCGCACTCGAAATTGTTGAAGCTCGACCAACTTTTTGGCGCCGGCAACGTTTTAATTTGCATTAAAAGGCGTCGCGGGTCGCTCAGGCAAAACTCGCTCTGGCAACTATTAAACTAAAGTTACGGAGCATTGGGCATAAGTTTTTCGAGCACACATTTCGTGAGTGCGCATACAAATGGCCTGAGTAGCTGCGGCTTAGAGATGGAGCACCCAAACAGTCAAACGGGTTGACTATATTAAGGCTTTCATAGCCTTAGCCGCGAATCAAAGTCGCCCACAGCGCATCGACTCAAATCTGTGAGCCAACAAGTTGCCGCATTGCGTGCCGGCCATTTTTTATGTCTGCGCCATTTTGTAAAATGGCAGGCAATAAAAATGGCCGCGAGTTGAAAGCAAAACGTTTAAACAAATGTCAACCAGGCAACAACAGCAGATCTGCAAATCTGCATAGCTCTTAATCCACTAACTAATGCTGATAATAATATATACTCTGGGCTTATTTACTTATAATTTTATAGACTTTTGCTAATGTGTGTGTGACAAGTGTCTGTCAATCAGAAACACATAAAAGCTGGCCCTCAGTCGATCGCTTGGTAAACAGTGAAGCGCGTTTGGCGACGTTTAAAAAGCTTTTAATTTGTATTTTGTGACAGTGACAGGAGAGGCCGTGCAGTGGCAGGTGCAGGTACCACGTGCCACGTGCCGCACATGCATGCCACACCTTTTCGGCAACACAGTCTCGCCTGTGCCATAAAGCTATTTAAAAATGAATGCAACTGAGTTTCGCCATTTTCGCAGCAGTTAAGCGGGATATGGCCAAGGGCAGACCGTGAATCGTTAAGGCATATGCAATGGCAGGCACGTTTATGGGCGCACATTCTGATGGCGATGTTCACTGCCTGTGTCCTGGGATCAAAGGCAGCAACCAGTCGAAAAGAGAAAAAGTTTTAATACTTTCGGGCAACATAAACTTGGCCTTGTCTTTGGCAACGCGATATAATCGTAAGGCCATTGCAACTACTAACAAAATTTATATGCAGCAGACGCAGAAAATGAGTTTAACTTTCGGCTCTTGCAGTTGGCATAAATCAAGTGGATCCAGCATGGCCCTAACTTCATCATCATCACCATCTGATGTTCAATATTATGTAGCACATAAGGGGATTCGCCGTCAGTTGTTGAACAAGCGTTTTTAAAGCTCATAAAAAAGAGCGAGACAGTGAAACAGAGAGCGAGAGACAAGTGTAAGTAGCAGTTAAACAGATAGGCCATTCAGCGTCCATTCCATGCGTCTCCATCCATCAGCTTGTAATAAGTAAAACGACAAATAAGTGTTGGGGCTGCGCCACACAAGAAATTGTGTGCTGCGGCGCCTGGCCTTGGCTCATGTCAAATCAAGCAATGAAAACTTTAATGGCATCAACGAATGTAAGAAGGCGTAGTCTGGACAGCAATATCAAATGGCCTTGACTTTAGGGCCATCAAATAGAGTGCGAGTTCTTGTTCACAGCCCAAGTAAGCCGCCAAATATTTGCTATCCTAAGTAAGCAAAAGCCTACCCTAATATAAAAGTATCAAACAGTTGGCACTAGAGCAGATCGTGTGACATGATATATGCATTAGCATACTATATAGCTAATATATAGACTGTCCAATTGCAGTGTAGCAGTTCGCTTTACTATGTTATAAGAATTCACTCAAGTCTACTCTCGTCTACTCTGGTCAACTGCAGTATACTCTTGCCTACTCTAGTCTACTCTAGGCTACTCTTGTCTACCCGAGTCTACTCTAGTCTACCTTAATCTAATGTAGTCTACTCTATTCTAGTCTCGTCTACTTTAGTCTACTCTAGTCTACCCTAGTTAACTCTAGTCAACCTTAGACCAGTCTCGTCTACTCTAGTCTATCCTAGTCTACTTTTATCTACTCTAGTCTACTCTAGCCTACCCTAGTCTCTGCCCTAGTCTACTCTCAGCTACCCGAGTTTACCTTAGTCTACTCTAGTCTCCTGCCTTCTTCCCAATACCATTTCTTCTTCCCAATAAGCCATCTAATTTAGTCGCTATCGATAAAAGCTTATAATTTTTTTGGTTTATGCAATGTCATTTGAGTATAATAATTTAAAAAGCTTTATCTCTATTTGTTATTATAGTTTTCATATCTTGCTTTCACTGAATAATCCCACAATCTAAAGTAAACGAAAGTCATCCAGTTGAATCATTCAGAATGTGCATTCGTTTAATTAGCTGTTTTATATATATATATATATATATATATATATATATATATATATATATATATATATATATATATATATATATATTTATACACTTTTATATTAGATTGAAGTCAAGTTCGCAGTCTGGAAATGATTCATGATGGAAATGTTAGCGTGCCATCAGCGAATGGGCTGATGCTTTAAGGACATATGATGCTTAATTAGAGTACATTTATTTGGCTTTCAGCGCTGGCAGAAAGTAAAATTAATTGACGTAAATATTTTGTATGATTTACTATGCGATTCGGTCAATCTCTGGGATGCCCACGTAAATAAATTGGCCGCAATTAAAATGCGCAACTGTGAAAATAGCTCACAAATATTTCCATTGAATACGTTTTTTATTTATTCAATCAATTTGGTGGCACGTGAATGTTTAACTCTGTGCAACCAACGGAGGCATGCATATGGCAACTGTATCAGCTATTGGCTATCTTAGCCATTTTTTCTTAAAGCTGAATGGATTTATTGTTGAATTTGTTTCTTTATGACGTGCCTCCTGCCAGCCAAGTTTTGGACATGGGCGTTTTTAATTTGTTCGCCGCGCAAAGTTTTTCAATTTAAAATTTCTCTAAGTCGGACATTTAATATACAAAATGCGGCTGCTTCGCACACCTGTTTCCCAGTTTTCCTGTTGCGGGCCATTCAATAATTAAGTTGACGCTCAGGCGGAAAACTTTTTCCACCCGTGCGTCCATCACGTTGCATGCCCTTGCCGAGGGGCAACAACACTTTGTGTGGAATTATGTAACAAATGGGAGATGTGTAATGAATGTTGAATGCATTGCATAAAGGACATTCGCCTCGACAAAAAAAGTCATTCAATTTTTTCTGATTACTTTCTTTATATAGAAGAGAGTAACTTCCAGTCGATAATTTAATATATTTTTAAAGTAGTTTAGAGACTTCTTTTCATTCTCTATGATAAACTTTATATATTGCCTCGTGGTTACAATTTACTGAAACAGTTTTTTATGTTTGTTTAATGTTCGTATTTTGTAAGCTTTGCTTAGTTATTCAAATTGGCTTGTTAGTAAAGTTCTCAGCAGAATTCCTAGGACTGCAAATGATAAGTTTTAAAGTTTCAGTTCGCATTTAATAAATCAGCAACTGCTGCTGACTTTTGTCAGTGCAGCAACTACAGTCAGCCATGTAATGATAACGTTTATGTCCTTGCACTTGTTGGCATTTGTCCTTGCTTTGACCGTTGCGCACGAATATGTATTATGCCATATAGAGTGCATTTTTTCTATGTCTCAATATGTTCTCTACATGTGTTTGTCCGAGCACACACTGAAACAATTGAAACGTGACGTGCATTGGCAATGCCGCCAATGTGGCGTATGAGCAATTTTTCTGCGTTGTGCGCTTTTTTCCTTTAAAGCAGCTGGCGAAATTGCTCAACTTTGAACCCTGTACTTCATTTTTTATTAAGCACAATAATCTAAGACGCTAGCTCCAAGCTGCGTGTCCGTTGCATGTCAACGCAGTTGATTGACGAGGGTGATTTAATATAATATATATTTAAAATGAACAGGCAACTGGAAATAGGGCATCAGGGAACAGCAGCAACAGCAATAATGAAATGGGTAGCGAATTCGATGATTCACTCTTTGCCAACAAGAAGGTCACAACAAAATCTAATAAGCCAGCGGTGTAGCTGACCATCAATGCCAACTAGCAGAGTCTGTGTAAGCTCAAAGACAACTGCGAAGATGCAAACGCAGCTCAACAAAAAGCAAAATATTTGGAAGAAATATATAAGTAAAGAGATACAACAGAATTCCACCTAACAAAAAGGAATACAAGTTTTTGAAGTAGAACTTGTTTAGGTTTATTAAATAGAAAAGATTTACAAAAGGCTGCTTCAGACAGCTGAGGGCATAGATTAAAACGATGAGCATTATAGAGTCTTAAATCGAATTCATAAACAAGACAAAGAGCTGCAACGAGATATAATTACATATATATCTGGCAATCTGCCTTATTCATGAAAATAAACTTGGCACGAAAACTGATTCGATTCATATACAGCGTAAACGTTCCCCGGCAAGAGTCAACATAAAATTAAGCAAAATGTAAATATTAAATATAACAACATTACGCAGCGTAAAAGCCAACATAATTCTAAAAATTATAGCATCAGAGCAGAGAGTGAATTTTTCAATGCTCTAACTGGAATGGCCGTATCATAAGATAATTACGGCGCCTAAGCAAACACCGGAATCAAGCATCGCATGGCTTTAGCTTTTGCCAGCCACTTCCTGCCATTTCCGACCCTTTGCCCAGTTGCCATAAAAAAGAGAAAAAAAAAAGAAAGAAGAAATTACCCCAAAGGCAACACAGCAGCTTCCTCGATTTGCCCATTTTCTGCTGCTCGTGTCGTCGAATGCCTGTTTGTTGTTGCCTCAATTAATTTGCGCTTTATGTTTTCTGTTTTGCCGCTCGTATGGCCAACTTTTAGGTGCCTTTTGGTTATGTCCTTGTTAAATTTACATAAAATTTCGCAGACAAGCCGCTGGAATGTGTGAAATCGTGTGGGCTTACCGAGAACGTGTCCCTAACTCCCAATGACAAGTAATATTTTAATACAGCACACGCACACAGCCCCCTACTTTTATGTATTTTATGCGCTAGGACATACGCAATAAATCATAGCCCTGTTAGGGTCTCATGGCATCTTTAATGTGAGGAGCACTACATACAATATTTTTACTAATGAAGTCATTTCACAGTTCAATGCCGCCTGGAGCGTCGTAGATTATATTTATTCCTTCATCTTTGCCGGCCATACGCATCCAGCGATCTGGCTGCCGGCACTGCCATCCTTGACGCTGCTTGCGTGTCTTATTGGCAAACCTGATTTAGTCACGTTTCCGATGGCTTCAGCTTCAGCTCCTGCTCCAGCTTCTGCTGCTGCTGCTGCTGCTGCTGCTGCTTCTACTCCGGTTAAAGCTATTGCCTTTATCGTGATTACTTGCTGCTTGGCTAACAAGTTGCCATAGAAAATTTGTTCACTTTTAGTTTATGCTCGCACACATATGCATGCATACTCACTTAGTTCTATTACACACATATGCACACACACACACTTACTTGTACCATATCAAAGCTATTTTAATTAAGCCAAGTCTCATGCACATGCCAGCACCATTGTGCCTCCTGGGCGTATGCGCAATATAAAGAGCCACGTTGCGCATGGAAATAACAATAATAGCAATAAGAATAGTAAAAAATGCGTAGAGTTACAAAAATGCTGACAACTTTTGCTGATGTTAAATGAAAGATTTTCCATACACCTATTTATAGGAAAAATCGTGTCCTTTCGCTGCCGCAGCGGTAATTTTTCTACACGCACACATACAGATATGTATGTGCAGACACTCTGACATTTTATTTGTTGCCCCGCGAAGGCGAACGATGGACCAACGAAGCATGCAGCATATTTTTATGGCACATAAATGTCATAATGCCATGCGGTATTTCACGTTTTTTCTCTTTTTCCTTTAGCTGCCTCAATAGCAACTCACACAACAGAGCTCGGAGAGTCATTTTTATTACACTCCCACGTTAAAAATAATTTGAGAGCAGACATGGCCATAGCAGCAGAGAAATTCATGTAGTTAATTGAAAATTCAATTTAATGTCTTTGCTTTGGCTACTCCCTTGAGAGGCTTTACTATATTATTTTGCACAGCTATAACACAATGTTATGTGCCTCAATATACCTACCGACGTAGTTTGATTTAAGCTGCTTATTGTAACTAATAACTACAAATCTTTTTTCCAGAGCATTATTAAGTCGTTCATATGTATTTTTTTTTTTTTTTTTTTTTTTTTTTTTTTTTTTTTTTTTTTTTTTTTTCGTTTTTATTTCTTTATTTTGTTGCAGCTTATTGTCTTAGACTCTATAGCGCATTTAGCTCTAAACCTTAACTAATGGGAGGGCAGATATGCCAATTATTCTGCACTTGTAGCTACTATCTTAATTAGTTCTAATATTGTCTAGAGGATGCAATCTCTTCAGTCTTCGCCTATTGTTGTTTATAGCCAGGTTGCTTGCGAGATGGTTAGGATGCGCTGCAAGTCTGTCCGCGTATCTTGAACTGTGTCGCCCAATGAGTTCAGCAACTGTGGGAATTGCTAAATCCCTATGTAAGACTGAGTTTCTTACAAACCAGCTGGCTCCAGTCCATCTGCGTAGTGCTTTATTCTGCAGGGTCTGAATTTTGTTCCTTGTAGTCTTCGCCGAGGAGCCCCATAGAGAGATACCATATACGAAGGTTGGGACAACTATTGCCTTGTAGATGGCGGCCTTGCTGCTGTAAGACAACTTGCTTGAAGCTCTCAGCATCCAGTCGAGGGTTTTTAGCTTGCTTTTGCATTTTGAGGTTACTTGACTTATGTGCGCTTTAAAAGTCAGCCTTCTGTCAAGAGTGATACCAAGGTACTTTACTTTTGAGGCTTTGGGAATAGTGGGCCCCAATGCAACGCTTGGGCAATCTCCTCTTCTAGTGGCGAAGGTAGTATGTACAGACTTTTGTGCATTAATGGTGATACACCACCGTTTTGCCCAGCGTCCGAAAGAGTCCAGATATTTTTGTAGTGAGTCTGAAGCTTCTTGCGCAGATACGTGACGTGATAAGATGGCGGTGTCATCTGCATAGGTCGCTATGAGTACTGCATCTGTACTTCCTATATTTGGCTCGGGAGTTGGCATATCTCCTGTGAATAAAGTATAAAGTGTTGGGCCTAGAACACTACCCTGTGGTACTCCAGCCATAATTGGTCTAGTCAAGGATACTGTTTGCCCCCTTGACACTTGGAAGGTTCTTCCAATAAGGTATGAGGATAGCAACGCGAAAAATGGGGCTGGAAGGGTGGTCCTCACTTTCTGCAGCAGTCCCAGGTGCCAAACTCGATCAAACGCCTGTTTGATGTCTAAAAAGACGGCAGAGCAGTACATCTTTTCTTCAAAGGCTCCAAGGATATGGTGCACAACTCTGTGAACCTGTTCCGGTGTTCCATGCTGTCTCCTGAAGCCAAACTGATGGTTTGGAATGGCCTCCTGGCGTCCCAGATGTGTCAGTACTCGTTCCAGAAATATTCTTTCGAATATTTTGGAGAGTACTGGCAACAGGCTAATTGGTCTGTACGACTCAATTTCTCCCACGGGTTTGCCAGGCTTAGGAATCATCACAATCACGGCGCGCTTCCAGCAGGCTGGAAAGTGCCGGATGCGGAGCATGGCGTTGTACACCATAGTTATGTAGTCTATGGTGGAGTCAGGCAGTGCTCTAAGGACTCTGCCGTTTATTAGATCATATCCAGGGGATTTTTTTGCCTTCACTCTTCTGATGTGTTCAAGAACCTCTTCTTTTGTACATCCAGTTATCTGGTCTTCAGCTGGGAGGGGCGAGAGAACGATGTCTTCTGTTGCTTCGATTTCTGAGGCCTCTGCGGTAATCACCGGCGTGAATTGGTCTTGAAGGTGGTTTGCAAAAGCCTCAGCTTGAGCTTCGTCTCCAATGTGCCAGGAACCAGAAATGCTCCGAATGGGATGACGTCGTATTGGCTGCCGTTTGAGCTTTCTTGTAAATTTCCATAATTGAAACTCTGCGTCAGTGGGCGATTCAGCTCGTACCAGCGCATCGCTGATACACCTCTTTTGAAGCAGGGCGAGAGCAGCTTTAAGATGCCTCGTGGCTTCGTTGTACATGGATTTGGCATCAGGCGTGCGTAATCTTAACCAGCGTCTCCTGGCCCATCTTTTGTGTATTAGTAGGTGTTGGGCCTCCAAGGTGAGGGGGATGTTGTACGGAGACTGTTGTCTTGTTTGGCAAGATGGTGGGGCGGCTTGGTGCGCAGCTTTGACTATTTCTTCCTGCAGTTTGTTTGCTGCGTAGTCCACGTCTTCAGGAGTGTTAAGTTCCATTTCTATGTGCAAAGAGTAATGGAGCTCGCGCCTAAAGACTCCTAAATCTGATCCTGCTGGCAGTAGTTGTTTCCTAATGGGCAAGGGCTGTGGCTGCGCGTGGATTGTGACTATTAGTGGCAGGTGGTCAGAGGATAGGTCCAAGGATTCTTCAATGGTCAATTGCCGGTCACAGATGCCTTTGTAGACAGCGAAGTCGATTGCCGAGGGCCTGTGTCCATTAATTGGGTAACGGGTGGGGGCTCCAGTCGCCAATATGCTGAATTGTAAGTTTTGAATCGCCTCAAATATGACTTCTCCGCGACGATTCGCACTATTGCTTCCCCAAAATGGGTGCCATCCATTCCAGTCGCCGCCGATGAGGGTCTTATTCAACCTTAGGCCTAGAACCTGTTCCATGTGATGATCACACAGACCAGTGTTTGGCGGAAGATAAATTGACGCAACTTCGATCGCTCCAATAGACGTAGGCAGGGTGATGGCTGAGACCTGCATTGTTGCGTTGCAAATTGGCAGTAAAGGTGTATGCGGTATTGTTGCTCGTATGAGGATTGAGGATCCACCAAAGCAGTTTGCTCCTTCACCATGAGCCTGATAGTGTTCGTATCCGAAAATTTGTGTAGTGGGGCACTCATGAGTTTCTGTTATTAACATTATATCTATGTTTTCTTGTGAGAGAAACGCAGCCAGTTCCTGAGTCTTGTTTCTCAGGCCATTGGCGTTCCAGATACCCACACGTAAAGCCATTATTTGTAGGCAAGCTTGGTTATGATGGCCATTAAACTGTTTAGCATGGTTGCTTGTTGGGATTGTACTTCTCGCATCGCTTTGAGCTCGGCATTAATTGCGTCAAACTGACGTTGTTGTTGCTGAAGCATTTCAGTGAACAAAGTGTCACTTGTGGTATTCTTATTTGACGGTCCACCTCTAGCGGCCTGTGCGTAAGAAACACCACTAATAGGCGTTGCAAAGCTCGTGGCTTGGGTAATGCTCCGGGGCCTTGTAATTTCGGAAGCAGTACTCGGACCCGTAGACGGTGTTTGTGTGGGACTCCTTTTTTGTGCTGGGGATTGCAATTTGCGCAACCGCTTGTATACTTGGCAGCCCTTATAGTTGGCTGGGTGCTGTAACTCACAGTGCACACAAGTTGGTGCCTGGTCCTTTTCGCGGGTGCAGTCTTTGGATGCGTGTTTCCCGGCGCAACGCACACATCTGGGAGCTTTGTGGCAGTAGCGTTGTGTGTGTCCAAATTCTTGACAGCGATGGCATTGTGTCAGGTCGTTGTATCTTCTTGGCAGTTCCACTGTGCAGCGTTGCCTGCAGACAACTCGAATGTCCAAAATTTCTTTGTTGTTGGGGGCCTGAGCCACGTCAACAAAAAATATATTTAGCGGTGTTTTGTCCATACGGCTCAGTGGGTTGTGCACATTTGTAATTGTGTGGCCTTTGGTTTCCAATTCCTTTTTAATTAGTGTTGTATCAGTGCTGGAGTGAAGCCCTTTGAACACGACTCTATATGGTTTGTCCTCCTTAAGCTGGTAGCAGTGGAACTCCAATTCCAGCTTAGTAAAGTGGTCTATAACTCTGCGATAGTCCTCACTGCATTGGGTTAATACACCTATGTTATTCTTCTTTGGCTTAATTACGTATGATTTAGCATCAATTACTTTATCTATTATCTGTTGAAGTAGGGCCACAGACTTGATGTTTGGACACCATATGGGGGGCGGACGAGGTTTCGGTGTAGTTTGCTGGTCGGTCAATACTGGGGCTTCTGGAGCTACAGGTGATTCGCTGTAGTCTTCATCTTCTTCTACGAGCAGTGAAAATCGATTTTCTGATATTAATGCTGCATTGCTGGTGCTTGGTTCGTCGAAGATGAGCCTTTTCTTGATGGTTTTTGGTGAATTTGGCTGTTTACGTTTCGTGTTTTTGTTGTTAGTGATGCCTTGCACGGAGGCGATATCTATTTTTGAGTTTATTGGCATGATGGAGGCTTGCCTATTTGCCATCACAACGTTAAGCTGGGCTTGCATTTCTGCATTTACCTTTACAGCTGTAGCGAGGTTATTGACATTAGATGTCATCGCGGATTGTGCTTTTGAGTGCAGGCGCACTCGCGCCAAGCGACGAAATTTCGTAAATTGCAATTAAAGCAATTGAGTTACGCGGAAGCAAGCGATAAGAAAACGCTGCGTGTGCGGTTTTTGTTGCTGTTGCGTTGAAGAATGCACCGCAAAGTTCTATTTTTAGAACTCTGCAGCAGTAGAGCTTAAGCGAAGGCTGTTCGAATTCACGTCTTTACAGGTCGAACGACTGATCG